TCTCTCTCTCTCTCTCTCTCTCTCTCTCTCTCTCTCTCTCTCTCTCATTCTGTGATGCCAGCAGAATCTAGGGCAGTGAAATCTCATTTGATGTAGAGATTTGCATTCAGCGTTGTGATCTGACATGCTTTCTTCTTTCTATTTCTTTAAGTCTGTGAGAGTGAGACTCCGAGCTATTGTTTTGGGTGTGTGCCAGCGTGCCAGCCCCAGTGCCCGGGCATGTTGTACCACATTGCCTCATGAGAGGATGAAGCGCCCCCCTCCCCCTCAGCCCAGTCCATCATGGCAGAGACTGAAAACAAAGCTGGCATGCCTTTATAATGAGAAGAGGGGCTGAGAGCTCGCAACCAGCTCCACTTCACACACACACACACACACACAAACACATTAAAATTCAGGGCTCGTAGCAGCACTGGGTCACACAGTGAGTGTGAGAGGGAATTTCAGGATACAGGAACAGCATTGGCTCAAAACATTCTCACGTGGAAGACGACGTCTGAATTTCACCCAAGATGTTTGCTTCTATAATGCTTTTGGGTAACACTTTAATTGAAGCCTGTATTAAAATCAAAATCTGTAATAGTAAACCAGTGATAATAACACTGGCATTTACTATCTTTAAAAATGCATTAAATATATCAAATGCATTGTCATTTTATATACTGACTTCAAATACACATCGTTTTTCATCTAATAGCGCTTATAAAAACCAATCGAATGACTATTTTAGCTCTCCTAAAGGCTTAAACTACACACAAACATGCGCTCATTCTCAAGCAGAGATGTGTTTGTTGTATGAATGCGTGTCCTGATATATATCTGGTTCACATGTGGGCCAGGGGTCACCTCTACGCCACTTTGCTGAACAAGGGCTCGGCAGACCTGAGCGAACAGACTGAATGCATTAGAGATGTGCATTCTCTATTAGCGCCTGTCTCCTCCGCTTATCATAAACCTCACTCTTCTTTTTCAAAAATAATTACCGTTCTGCGTGGCTGAAGTCTCAAGACGACAGAGTCGCTCAAGGGGCTTTTTTTTCATCACACTCCGCAGAATCTTTACAATAAGTGTCAGCGAATAATTCAGTATTTGTGTTCAGTGGTTTAGATTAGACTTCATTCTAATTCCAGGAATTGCCTCTTATTGTTTTGAGGTAAAAGAAAAAAATTGGAAATCAGCCGCCAGCTACAGATTAAAATATGGGGTCAAAGATGTAACATTCATTTTTTTTAATGAATGTTACTTCATCTTCATCTAACTTCATCTTAAGCTCTTAAATGACAATGACATAAAAAAAAATCACGTAAATATAAAAGTGTCGTATTCAACATAAAAACGCCATATTCATGATTTACAAATGTCATGTTTATGAATAATGCTTTTTGCAGCACCTTGACAAAATATTTTTGTAAATCTTTTTTTTTTTATTTTTGTTTTTTTATATTAAGATGTGTACAGAAAGATTCAAGGAAGGTGTAACTTGCTGTTTATATTGTCAAAGGAACGTGTCTAAGAACGTGGCACATGCATTTTAAGATCGATTTTTGATTTTCATCATCCTTAATTGTAATTGATCTTTAGTAGACAATGAAGTGATTGAGAATGACAGTCTTATGGGTTTAAATCTTGCAGGCAGGCAGAGAGCAGAGCGTTTGGCCCATTTATTGCAGGAAATGAGGTCTGCTGAAGCCCGCAGGACTGACAATCCCTGCCCACTCCAGCATTACGTCTGAGTACAGATCTGAAGAGCAGTAGAGCTCCATATCTCTCTCTCTTTCCTCCGGGTCACTTTGTTTTTAGCGTAGCTCACTGAGTGTCCCAAACATCTGCCCTGAGCTCGCAGTCTGCTTTTTGTCTGTATTTTTCTGCATTCTTGGTGGTCTTTTTTTCTGTGTTCTGTCTCTGCTACTTGCTTTGAAGCAGCTGGCCCATTTAGGAGGCCGCATTATATATTAATCAGCTGATTTGCCTAAATTTGCATCTGCTGTGTGAGCTCTTGTGTGTGTGTCTGGCCTGGTTGCATGGGTGCAGTTGGGGGTTGGTTTGTTTTTGCTGGTTAATGAACTAATTTAAAGCTAATTTATATATATATATATATATATGTGTGTGTGTGTGTGTGTGTGTGTGTGTGTGTGTGTGTGTGTGTTTTTTGTGTGTGTGTGCCATTAAAGCTATTGTTGATTTCCTGGTAGAATGTGAAACACTATCAAAATATCGCCCTGTCCAACATAACAGCACTGTCTCAACCAATAGCACGAGTCTGGGGCGAGACTATCTGTTTGTCCCACAAATGGAAGACAGAGAATGTTTGAGAAAACAGATTTTTATTTTTTTTTGGGGGGGGGAGTTTACATATTCTGCCTGTCTTTGATGGATTCAGGTTTTGAGTTGACTTATTTTTACAGGAAAACAACTACGTTACTACGTTTCCTAAAACAGTTTTTATTTATTTATTTCAAGAGAAAATATATATTTGGTGAAGTGTTTTATAACTAAACGAATAGTTCCACCAAAAAAAAAATGCAATTCTGTCATAATTTTCTCACTTTCATGACGTTTCAAACCTGTATAACTTACTTTCTTCTGCTGAACGTAAAATGTTATTTTGAAGAATGTTGGTAACTAAACAGTTTTGGTTCCTATTGATTTCAATTGTGTAGACAAAAACCCAGTGTATGTCAATGGTCACCAAAACGGTTTGGTTTCCCAAATTCTTCAAAATATTTTATTTTATGTTCCACACAACGAAAGTCATACAGGTTTACAACGACGTGAGATAAATGATGACACAATTTTTACTTTTGGCTTACAGTAACCATCCCTTTAATTAACTACTGTTTATTTCATTTTTTTTTTATTCATACTCCAGGTTCTCAGAGATTTATTTTCGAGGGTTATGAAGCTATTAGGTGCCTAAAAATTGCTCATGCATATTTTATAAGGCTCCATTTGTATTCCTGGCATGTTCTGTCATCGCCAAGGTGACACTATTGAAATACCCATCAGCCAATCAGAGGCGCCGACAACACTGATCAGAGAAGACTAGAGAGGGGTTGTTTGCTGAGCTGTACTGTATTTGATTTTATTGTGTGTGTGTGTGTGTGTGTGTGTGTGTGTTTCTCAGATTGTGGGTTGAATGTCCATAAGCAGTGCTCGAAGATGGTGCCCAACGACTGCAAGCCGGACCTGAAGCATGTGAAGAAGGTTTACAGCTGTGATCTCACCACACTGGTCAAGGCTCATAACGCTACACGACCCATGGTGGTGGACATGTGCATACGAGAGATCGAAGCACGAGGTGACTGAATCACTGACTCTGATTTACACTCAACAGTGATGCAGAGATAGAAATCGTCTTGGCAGTACCGAGAACCAATAAGTGTTTTATGTTGTGTACATTTTTGTTTTGTTTTACACGGTCAGTGATATATTGTGCTTCTCTTGTAAAAACAGCTTGCTAATACTGATAGCCATTGTTGTGGCCAGTGGCTTATATTATGCTATAAATATTTTATGTTGAGTTTTGTTTGTAGTTTTTTGTTATGTTGTGTTTTGTTTCGTTTGTTTTTATTGTTCTTTATTATTCTCAACATGGTCAATGATATATAGTGATTTTTCTAATAAACAAAAAAACAATTGCTAATACTGATAGCCAATATTATGACTAGTGGATTTTGTTTTGTTTTTTGTTCAGCCTATTTTTTCATTATTATTTTTTTGTTTGTTTGTTATTTTTTCATGTTTTTGTTTTCACAAGATTTTCTAATAAACAAAAACTGCTTGCTAAAACTGTTCAGAAGTCTTGACAGTGCTACACATATTACCTTAGCTTTTATTGGAGACAGCAAAGCTTGAACTGTCTTGTCTCTCAGGTTTGAAGTCGGAGGGTCTCTATCGAATCTCTGGGTTCAGCGACTTAATTGAAGATGTGAAGTTAGCGTTTGACAGAGGTGAGTGGCGTTTGTCTGATTGTGTACCGTACTGATCCGTCACAACCCCCACATTCCTACACACACACCTACACGCGTATCTGTGTGTGTAATCCTGATAAATTGCATACACATGCTCACTGCTGCTTTTTTAGGTCACTCTTTGTCATGCGTATAGAGCTGTGGGTTTATGTAATGTAAAGTGGCACATTTGTAGGAGGATTTTCGTCCATCTGTTGGTATTCATATGCATTACTGTTTCATAATGACTCTCAGATGACATGAGGACAGTATCAGAGAAAGTGAGAGGGGATATGAACAAGCTAGAGAGAAAGAAATCATGTGATCTCTACAGGTTTCTACTGAACGCTGTGACGGCTGTGCAGCTGCAGCATTATTTCAGCTCAGTACAAGTAGAGTTCTGAGAAAGACTGCAAAATATCCACGACTCTAAGAAATGTGAATTTAAAATTTTACTATTCACTATTTTTACTTTTATTGATTTTTTTTTCTTTTTGTTAATTGAAATAAAGCTCAGATAAAATGAAATATAAACATTAAATGAAAAACTTTAAAATATTAATTTAAGTTGAAGTACAAAAATTACTAAAACATTTTTTAAATCATTAAATAATAAAAGTAACAAAATCACTAAAACTTAATCTTGAAATGAAATGAAAATATACAAATAAAATGTAAAAAAAAAAAATAATAATAAAAGACAGTTCAAAATATTAATAAATACTATAATAGTAAACACTACCAGTCAAAATTTGGAATAATTCTGATTTTTTATGTTTTTAAAAGAAGTATCTTATGCTCACCAATGCTGCATTTATTTGATCGAAATACAGTAAAAACAGTAATATGGTGAAATTTTATCACAATTAGTTTTCCAGTTTAATAATATTAATAATAAAATGTAATTTATTCCTTTGATGGAAAAGATGAATTCCAGCAGGACCGTTTCCACAAAAATATTAAGCAGCACCAACTGTTTTTAACAATGATAACAATAAGAAATATCTCTTGAGCAGCAAATCAGCATATTAGAATGATTTCTGAAGGGTCATGTGACAAAAGATAAAAGATGCTAGAGTAAAGAGTAAAGATTTAAAGAATTCAACTTTACATCACAGGAATAAATTGTATTTTCAAATATTTTAAAATGGAAAAAAAAACTATTAAATTGTAATAATATTTCATGGTTTTGCTATATTTATGTTTGTTCAAATAAATGCAGCCTTGGTGGGCATAAAATATTTCTTTCAGAGAAATTTTAATGACTTCAAATGTTTGGCCGGTAGTGTTTAAATGATACTGAAATAACACTGAAACCTGGAGTACAGAAGCAGTTATATGGCATAACAGCACTAAACACCTGCACCACGGCAGCATCGCAGTACAGAAGTATTCTCACAAGCTCAGAAAAAGATCAAGTTAGCTAAATGTCTCCATGTTCAGTCCCCAGAGCAAACAAGAGCGCTGTCAATGCAGATAAGTGCAGTTCCCACTGCATTGCTTCCAGCAGCAGAGGACTGACTCTCCCTGGAGCCGAGCGTGAAATGTGTCTTTGATCTGAGTGTTTGTGTGTGAATGTGTTCAGATGGAGAGAAAGCAGACATCTCCGTAAACGTCTATGAAGACATCAACGTCCTCACAGGTGCTCTTAAACTCTACTTCAGGGACCTGCCGATCCCCGTCATCACGTACGACGCATATCCGCGCTTCATCGAGGCTGCCAGTGAGTCTATGTTTCTCTAGCAGTCAATGTGCCTGACACTCAATTCTGGCTCTTTCCCCATATTTCACCTCCGTTTATTGAATAGAAAAGCTGGATTCATCAAAAGCACGAGATATATGCAATGCTGTGCATTAATGTTTATTCTTTGAAAATAATCACATCAGGGTTTTAGACTTCAAAATTGTCCAACATTTTGGTATGTGGATAGAGAAAGCTGCAGACCTCAAATGTAATAAACAGAAAATAGAGCACCTCATATGTGACCCTGGACCACAAAACCAGTCATAAGTGTCAATTTCTCGAAATTGAGATTTATACATCATCTGAAAGCTGAATAAATCAAGTGTAAGCGTTAGTTCTGGCAGGTCACGTTAGTCAAGCTCGCATCAGCTGACTCTTAGCTGATCCCCATCAACCTATAGGAATACGACACCTATCTAAGCATTCATATATAAGGTCCCTCAGTATTATCAGCAGTTTTCGCATTGCTCAATAGCTAATTATCCTCCTCCATCCCCAGCTCCTCCTCTGTCAGTCAGGATTCAGCCTTCTGATTCTCTTTTGAATCAGACTAATTCTAAATGTGTACATTACATTTTTTTTACTTTTATCATATCTGCAATACATTTATGTTGGTTCTGTTATGTTTACAAAACCGTTTCTGTTTCAAAAATTAAGTTTTGTTATATTTACGGCAGGAAATTTACAAAATATCTTCATGGAACATGATCTTTACTTAATATTCTAATGATTTTTGGTATAAAAGAAAAATCGTTAATTTTGACCCATACAATGTATTTTTGGCTATTGCTACAAATATACCCCAGCGACTTATGACTGGTTTTGTGCTCCAGGGTCACATATGATATTCAATTTGATGTGTTTGCTGTGTTTTGAAACAGAGCCTACAGATCAGTTTGACAATCATACTGCAGATGTGTTGAGACAGATGAGTTTTTGATCTGTTTGTTTGTTTGTTTGTTTGTGTCAGAGCTGACAGACCCAGATCAGCGTTTGGAAGCTCTGCATGAAGCTCTGAAGCAGCTGCCTCCTGCTCACTGCGAGACACTGCGATATCTCATGGCACATTTAAAGAGGTGAGAAACGGATGGATATCAGACCTCCTTCAAGAAAATCTAAGTGAAAATCTGTCATTCAGTCATCTGAGATTCTTTTTTCCTTTGAACACAAACGTTTTCTTTTCTTAAAAAAACATTTTATGGTAGTTCAAGCTGTCGGTCATTTAACGTTTCTGTTGTAAAACAGTTGACTAATATTAAATGAGTGGCTACATCTTCCCTCGATCCCTTTCATCGTTAAGGCCTGTTCACACCAAGCACGATAACTATAAAGATAACGATAAAGATATAGTTCTAAAAATCATTCTCAGTATTAAAGAATAGCAGAGTCCACAACTATAACGATACAGAGGAACGATATCGTTGTGATCACTTTCAAAATGATTTTTTTTCCAGCTGATGAACGATAAAACACTGACAGCCAATCAGAATCCATCCTGCTGTAACGAGCTCAAGAACTTAAAGCGGCAGACGCATATGTGCTTAGAATGAACAGACGATATCGTTCGCTAGTGTGGACGCTAATATCGTTATCGTTATAGTTATCTTTGCGGCAGACACATGTGCGCTTAGAATGAACAGACGGTATCGTTCGCTGGTGTGGATGCTAATCATCACGTACGACGCATATCCGCGCTTCATCGAGGCTGCCAGTGAGTCTATGTTTCTCTAGCAGTCAATGTGCCTGACACTCAATTCTGGCTCTTTCCCCATATTTCACCTCCGTTTATTGAATAGAAAAGCTGGATTCATCAAAAGCACGAGATATATGCAATGCTGTGCATTAATGTTTATTCTTTGAAAATAATCACATCAGGGTTTTAGACTTCAAAATTGTCCAACATTTTGGTATGGGGATAGAGAAAGCTGCAGACCTCAAATGTAATAAACAGAAAATAGAGCACCTCATATGTGACCCTGGACCACAAAACCAGTCATAAGTGTCAATTTCTCGAAATTGAGATTTATACATCATCTGAAAGCTGAATAAATCAAGTGTAAGCGTTAGTTCTGGCAGGTCACGTTAGTCAAGCTCGCATCAGCTGACTCTTAGCTGATCCCCATCAACCTATAGGAATACGACACCTATCTAAGCATTCATATATAAGGTCCCTCAGTATTATCAGCAGTTTTCGCATTGCTCAATAGCTAATTATCCTCCTCCATCCCCAGCTCCTCCTCTGTCAGTCAGGATTCAGCCTTCTGATTCTCTTTTGAATCAGACTAATTCTAAATGTGTACATTACATTTTTTTACTTTTATCATATCTGCAATACATTTATGTTGGTTCTGTTATGTTTACAAAACCGTTTCTGTTTCAAAAATTAAGTTTTGTTATATTTACGGCAGGAAATTTACAAAATATCTTCATGGAACATGATCTTTACTTAATATTCTAATGATTTTTGGTATAAAAGAAAAATCGTTAATTTTGACCCATACAATGTATTTTTGGCTATTGCTACAAATATACCCCAGCGACTTATGACTGGTTTTGTGCTCCAGGGTCACATATGATATTCAATTTGATGTGTTTGCTGTGTTTTGAAACAGAGCCTACAGATCAGTTTGACAATCATACTGCAGATGTGTTGAGACAGATGAGTTTTTGATCTGTTTGTTTGTTTGTTTGTTTGTGTCAGAGCTGACAGACCCAGATCAGCGTTTGGAAGCTCTGCATGAAGCTCTGAAGCAGCTGCCTCCTGCTCACTGCGAGACACTGCGATATCTCATGGCACATTTAAAGAGGTGAGAAACGGATGGATATCAGACCTCCTTCAAGAAAATCTAAGTGAAAATCTGTCATTCAGTCATCTGAGATTCTTTTTTCCTTTGAACACAAACGTTTTCTTTTCTTAAAAAAACATTTTATGGTAGTTCAAGCTGTCGGTCATTTAACGTTTCTGTTGTAAAACAGTTGACTAATATTAAATGAGTGGCTACATCTTCCCTCGATCCCTTTCATCGTTAAGGCCTGTTCACACCAAGCACGATAACTATAAAGATAACGATAAAGATATAGTTCTAAAAATCATTCTCAGTATTAAAGAATAGCAGAGTCCACAACTATAACGATACAGAGGAACGATATCGTTGTGATCACTTTCAAAATGATTTTTTTTCCAGCTGATGAACGATAAAACACTGACAGCCAATCAGAATCCATCCTGCTGTAACGAGCTCAAGAACTTAAAGCGGCAGACGCATATGTGCTTAGAATGAACAGACGATATCGTTCGCTAGTGTGGACGCTAATATCGTTATCGTTATAGTTATCTTTGCGGCAGACACATGTGCGCTTAGAATGAACAGACGGTATCGTTCGCTGGTGTGGATGCTAATACCGTTATCTTTATAGTTATCTTTGCGGCAGATGCATGTGCGCTTAGAATGAACAGACGGTATCGTTCGCTGGTGTGGATGCTAATACCGTTATCTTTATAGTTATCTTTGCGGCAGATGCATGTGCGCTTAGAATGAACAGACGGTATCGTTCGCTGGTGTGGATGCTAATACCGTTATCTTTATAGTTATCTTTGCGGCAGATGCATGTGCGCTTAGAATGAACAGACGGTATCGTTCGCTGGTGTGGATGCTAATACCGTTATCTTTATAGTTATCTTTGCGGCAGATGCATGTGCGCTTAGAATGAACAGACGGTATCGTTCGCTGGTGTGGATGCTAATACCGTTATCTTTATAGTTATCTTTGCGGCAGATGCATGTGCGCTTAGAATGAACAGACGGTATCGTTCGCTGGTGTGGATGCTAATACCGTTATCTTTATAGTTATCTTTGCGGCAGATGCATGTGCGCTTAGAATGAACAGACGGTATCGTTCGCTGGTGTGGATGCTAATACCGTTATCTTTATAGTTATCTTTGCGGCAGATGCATGTGCGCTTAGAATGAACAGACGGTATCGTTCGCTGGTGTGGATGCTAATACCGTTATCTTTATAGTTATCTTTGCGGCAGATGCATGTGCGCTTAGAATGAACAGACGGTATCGTTCGCTGGTGTGGATGCTAATACCGTTATCTTTATAGTTATCTTTGCGGCAGATGCATGTGCGCTTAGAATGAACAGACGGTATCGTTCGCTGGTGTGGATGCTAATACCGTTATCTTTATAGTTATCTTTGCGGCAGATGCATGTGCGCTTAGAATGAACAGACGGTATCGTTCGCTGGTGTGGATGCTAATACCGTTATCTTTATAGTTATCTTTGCGGCAGATGCATGTGCGCTTAGAATGAACAGACGGTATCGTTCGCTGGTGTGGATGCTAATACCGTTATCTTTATAGTTATCTTTGCGGCAGATGCATGTGCGCTTAGAATGAACAGACGGTATCGTTCGCTGGTGTGGATGCTAATACCGTTATCTTTATAGTTATCTTTGCGGCAGATGCATGTGCGCTTAGAATGAACAGACGGTATCGTTCGCTGGTGTGGATGCTAATACCGTTATCTTTATAGTTATCTTTGCGGCAGATGCATGTGCGCTTAGAATGAACAGACGGTATCGTTCGCTGGTGTGGATGCTAATACCGTTATCTTTATAGTTATCTTTGCGGCAGATGCATGTGCGCTTAGAATGAACAGACGGTATCGTTCGCTGGTGTGGATGCTAATACCGTTATCTTTATAGTTATCTTTGCGGCAGACGCATGTGCGCTTAGAATGAACAGACGATATAATTCGCTGGTGTGGACGCTAAAATTGTTATCTTTATAGTTATCTTTGCAGCAGACGCATGTGCGCTTAGAATGAACAGACGATATCGTTCGCTGGGGTTGACGCTAATATCGGTATCTTTATAGTTATCTTTGCGGCAGATGCATGTGCGCTTAGAATGAACAGACGATATCGTTCGCTGGGGTTGACGCTAATATCGGTATCTTTATAGTTATCTTTGCGGCAGATGCATGTGCGCTTAGAATGAACAGACGATATCGTTCGCTGGGGTTGACGCTAATATCGGTATCTTTATAGTTATCTTTGCGGCAGATGCATGTGCGCTTAGAATGAACAGACGATATCGTTCGCTGGGGTTGACGCTAATATCGGTATCTTTATAGTTATCTTTGCGGCAGATGCATGTGCGCTTAGAATGAACAGACGATATCGTTCGCTGGGGTTGACGCTAATATCGGTATCTTTATAGTTATCTTTGCGGCAGATGCATGTGCGCTTAGAATGAACAGACGATATCGTTCGCTGGGGTTGACGCTAATATCGGTATCTTTATAGTTATCTTTGCGGCAGATGCATGTGCGCTTAGAATGAACAGACGGTATCGTTCGCTAGTGTGGACGCTAATATCGTTATCTCTATAGTTATCTTTGCGGCTGACGCATGTGTGCTTAGAATGAACAGACGGTATCGTTCGCTGGTGTGGACGCTAAAATCGTTATCTTTATAGTTATCTTTATAGTTATCTTTATAGTTATCTTTATAGTTATCTTTATAGTTATCTTTATAGTTATCTTTATAGTTATCTTTATAGTTATCTTTATAGTTATCTTTATAGTTATCTTTATAGTTATCTTTATAGTTATCTTTATAGTTATCTTTATAGTTATCTTTATAGTTATCTTTATAGTTATCTTTATAGTTATCTTTATAGTTATCTTTATAGTTATCTTTATAGTTATCTTTATAGTTATCTTTATAGTTATCTTTATAGTTATCTTTATAGTTATCTTTATAGTTATCTTTATAGTTATCTTTATAGTTATCTTTATAGTTATCTTTATAGTTATCTTTATAGTTATCTTTATAGTTATCTTTATAGTTATCTTTATAGTTATCTTTATAGTTATCTTTATAGTTATCTTTATAGTTATCTTTATAGTTATCTTTATAGTTATCTTTATAGTTATCTTTATAGTTATCTTTATAGTTATCTTTATAGTTATCTTTATAGTTATCTTTATAGTTATCTTTATAGTTATCTTTATAGTTATCTTTATAGTTATCTTTATAGTTATCTTTATAGTTATCTTTATAGTTATCTT